AATCTGGGCTATACCAGTGGACATGCTCCACAGAACATGGCAAGAGATCGAATATCGTCTGGATGTTCTTCGTGCTACCAAGGGAGCCCACATCGAGGTCTACTGAGGTCAGTAAAAAACTTCCAGAGTTTCACTGTAATCTGCCTCAAACTGCATGTGGCAAGCTCAATTTGTTTGCGCGCCACAATTTTTCAAAACCCCGAAGGAACTTTGTGGACACACTTTATATTTAGTGAAGTACAGATGAATAGGATTGCTGTCTTATATCTGTGCTGTTTGTTGTATTTATTAACAATTATGTAACAAGATATTGTTAGTGGTTTTCACTCGTACTTCATACTTGGAAAGTTCCGTTCCTGAATATTTGCTCAGTGAATAAATTTTCATAGGTTTCTTCAGCGTCTGTGGGCAGTTGCTGAGATAGTGACGTAAGATATTCTACAACGGCTTCCTTCCACATGCTCCTTAATTCACCATTATACTTTGTGCTTTGTAATAAGAGTGTGCTTTCCATTCCATTATTGTGAAATTTGACTCTGCGTGCAGGGTTTGTGCTCTACAAGGGTGGACTTCTGGATGTGGAGAAGCTGATGGGTCAACTGAAACGAAGCGAGAAGGCTCGGACTGACACAGAACAGAAGATGCTGGTTCTGAAGGAGGAAGTCAGCGGGCTGAAGGAGACAGCAACCAAGTCTGCCAATACAGTAAATGAGCTGTCAGCGCAACTTCACGACTACAAGGAGAAGTTACGAATCACTGATCAGGACCTTGCCAAAGTGAAGGTTTGTTTTGTCGTTCACAAATTCTGTTTATTATTTTTATGACTCATGTGTTTTTTTTTCCACATATTGAAATGTGTACAAATATATACATGCTTTATATTTTCTATACAGTTCAAGAAAATTGAACTTTTAAATAAATATTTCACATTGTGAGTTAAGGATAGCAACGAATATTACCTATTAAACAGGGTTAGCAATGTGAAAGTTGCCTTTGTGTGAAGAACCATCACCAGTACAGATCTTGGTGACCTATTATGGTCTTGGATTTTTTGCTCATCTCTTCATCAGATATAGGAGCCAGGATAGCTCAGTCAGTATAGTGACTAGCTACGGGCTGGATGACCGGGTTTCGATCCACAATGGGGGGAAGAGGATTTCTCCTTTAGCCTTTGTGTCCAGACCAGCTCTGGGGTCTTTTCCCAGGAGTAAAGCTTGGCTCGGGTGTGATGCTGACCACTCACCCTCATCTAGTGCCGAGGTCAAGAATGAGTAGGCGCTGTACCTCCTCTCTCCCCAAGCAACCTACATGATGTATAGCACGACTGCTTAACTTTACTTTATTAGATATCCTATTGATCTTCCCTTACATCAATACAAGGTGGACACTTGGGGTTCCACAAAAAGAACTGAAGGACCCTTAACTGGACTACAGTATCGCAGAAGACACAGTTTTAACTCCGTCAGTACTGTGCTTGCATTTGAGTTCAGACTGTGTTAACAGAAATGGAAATTTCCTTTTTGCGATGGGGAAGCGAAAATTGGTGGGATTAACTTTAGAAAATGTTATTGAGGCTGGGGTGTAATGTGCAATGCATGGGAGTGGGCTTCAAAAGATTATTATTAATACTATTGTCATTAATTATTAATTCAAGTAAGCCTACAGTAATTAGTGTATGAAAGTAAATAGATTATATTGTCATTAGACCACAATCTGATTTTTCTCTTTTCCTCTATCTTGGACACCTCTGTAAGTTGGACACATTTTTGTGGAACCCCAAGTGTCCACCTTAGAGAGGTTTTACTGTATATGTCTTATCTTGTTCACAGCTTCTGTGTTAAGGCAAATGTAAACTCAATCAGACTGGAATACTGTAAATAAAGTTAACATGCGTACTTGACAGTTTTGATATTTGTGGTTTTTACAGATGAATGCTGAGACTTTCTTTGTTACACTGCATGAAATTCAAGAGAAGATTGTGCCTGTGTTGAATTCAGGAGATGTTCAAATAGTTCACATGGACATAAAAGACGAAACGTTATCGGACATCGTGGTGAAGCACGAAAGTCAACATGAGAGTCGATGGGGCGATAAGGTGGATCGACAGGATGAGAAGAAGAAGGTGGAAACAATAAAAAGTGAAACTGCAATGGAGTGTAAATGAACTGTGTGTGTATGTGAGTGGCTTTGAGATCTTTCTTCGAAATGCTCGATAGAAGGTCTGGAGAACTTATTCATTGTTTGATATTTTATTGTTTTTATTTATAACAATAAGAAGCACAATATTTTATAATAATAAATATTGGTTGTTAATGTATTCAGACCTGTAGTTGAAAATTTTCAGTGTAATCAGCTGAATTCCTGTGGTTGGAAATTTCTGATGTCACACAGGGTTTATGATCTGTTCTTGTAGTCTGTCTCAGTCACTTTTTGGCTGTTATGAGATGTTATTTATAGAGAACAGTTTAGTCAGTATGTGAGAAAGAAAATTATCACTGAAATATTGATTCTTGAAGGTGTTCTAAACATTTTGTCACAAAACTTGCCTTTTTGATAAAATGGCAGGAGTACTTGTGTAGTACTGAATTTTCATCGTGGTCTGAATATGTTATATGTATTTTGAGTGTATCCATAAATTTGTTTGCACTAAAATATGTTTATATTGATCTGGATGAGAATTGAGTGAATGAATTTAATATAGTACAAAAATTTCTTTATTAAAGGTGACTGCACCCAGCAGGGCGTTACGCTGAAACGAGCGTATTATTGAATTTTGGTTATTCACAGCTATGAAGATGTCAGTGTCGGTAATCTGGAGAAACATACTGTCTCGATCTTCAGGGCTGAAGTGCTCGGAAATTGGAGACGGTATGTTTCTGAAACATTAGAATCTACATGCAAGCTACACAGCATTACAGCCAGTAACACCAACATTGATAGTGGTAATATTTGTTTTGTGTATCCATTTCATGAAGCAGTACCTGAGATGGGCTGGGCATGTAGCGTGCATGGATGGGACAAGAGGTGTGCACCAGGTACTGGTTGGGAAACCTGAAGGGAAGAGACCGCTGGGGAGACCTAGACGTAGATGGGAGGATAATCTCAGGCGGGCTATATGGGAGATAGGCGTTGAAAGAGACTGGATTTTGTTGGCCCAGGACAGGGTCCGGTGGAGGGCTTAGGTTAATTCGGTGATGAACCTTCAGGTTCAGTAAGCCATCTAGTTACTTAGTTAGTTAGTACCTACGCTGATATCTTTTGTGAATTCCTTGGGGCTAAATAAATGTTTCATGGGGTGTGCATGGAAATATGCGTATGTTTATGATTTGTCCCAGTATTTGTTTTAAGGTAATTTTCAGAAAAAAGTAATATAATTATTATTAATAGTAATTATAAATATTAGTAATTACTGTTAGTCTGTTCAAAGTTGCGTAGTTGCATAGTTAAGGTGCTTGGTTACAAAACCGTTCTACCCTGTAAAGGAAAATTGCCTATTTTTGAAATACACAAAAATTCAGCAGTGTGGAAATGGAATAGGTCAAGAGTGTGTATGGGAACAAAGAAAGGGACACACAGAAGTACAGTGCACTCCCAGTATAATGAGAATTTATAAATTTTTGATAAATACTCATTCTGATAGGCGCATATAATATCCAGAAATGGTTGAAGTACATAATCTTCAAGCTTCTCTCTTAACTACTAATTGAGTGTATTACATTGTAGCTGCATTAGAATATACTGGGAACGACCCGTTCTTCAAGTGCCTGAGCTCTGCGGGTCCCAACTTTTCGTTTGCTTGATCTATAGACATTCGGTAGGACTCCTTGGACGAGGGATCGGCCTGTCGCAAGGCCTCTACCTGTACACAGAATAACACGGATAAACATCCATGGCTTGAGTGGGATTCGAACCCACGGTCCCAGCGACCAAGCGGCAGAAGGCCCATGCCTCAGACCGCGCGGCCACTCATCCGCCCAGCATATTTTATTGCAATGTCAGTTGACTTAATTAGACAGTCAAATTCCCTGAGTCTGTGCCAGTTCTGAGTCAATCGTTGAGTACGCTGCAAGCTAGCTCGGCCCCTCACAGAGTGGAAGATCCGCTGGAGGCCAAGGCACGGGACCGAGGAAGTTAGGAGGAAACTAAATTCTGGAAATGCTTGCTACTTCTCAGTTCAAAACATTTTGTCTTCCTGTCTGATTTCTAGGAACCTGAAGATTAAAGTATACAAAACAATAATTTTGCCTATTGTTTTGTATGGGTGAGAAATTAGGTCTCTCACTCTGAGGGAGGAACACAGATTGCAGGTGTTTGAGAATCAGGTGTTGAGGAGGATATTTGGGCCTAAGAGAGAAGACGATGGGGCATGGAGAAAACTGCATAATTATGAGCTTAAAAATTTATACTCCTCCCCCAATATTGTCAGGGTGATTAAGTCGAGAAGACTGAGATGGGCAGGACATGTAGCACACATGGATGGGACAAAAGGTGTGCACCAGGTATTGGTCAGGAAGCCTGAGGGGAAGAAACCACTGGGGAGATCTAGACATAGATGGGAGAGTAATATCAGGTGGGGTCTATGGGAGATAGGAGTTGAAGGAGACTGGATTTTGTTGGCCCAGGACAGGGTCCGGTGGAGGGCTTTGGTTAGTTCGGTGATGATGAGCAATCTAGTAGTCATTACAGTGTGGGTAAGATAATTGTTGAAGTGGGTATCATGGAAATTTGGAAAGAAGACTGGACAGGCATACTCTTGGGAGTACACAAACATTCCAAAGGCATTTCTCATCACGTGTTATTCTTGCATAGTCATCCTGTTAGATTATTGCATCGTAGGTCATTCTTGCACTAATGATATACAAGGTAATTCTAGTGTCAGGTTATTCTTGTGTAGAAGTGAGACCAAATTATTGTTGCTCATAGGTTTCTTTGAGCAATGACCTTAGATTATTTTTGGTTTATGTGATCAGAGTTCCCGGTGTTGCACAACTATCGGTTCTGACCAGGGCTGTGGAGTCGGTACTAAAATCTCCGACTCCAACTCTGACTCCTACTCCTTCATAAAAGCTCAATATGTATTAATAAAGGTAAACCTACTAAAATGGTAAATGGTACCACAAGAGATTTCATCACCTCCATGTTAATCATCAGGCTACTTTTTAGGCTTATAACCTATATTTAAATATACGGGGTCCGCAGTGGCCGCGCGGTCTCAGGTGTGGGACCATGGGTTCGAATCCCACTCAAGCCATGGATCGCGTTTGTCTGTGTTGTGCTGTCCTGTGTACAGGTAGAGGCCCTACAAAGGGCCAATCCCTCGTCCAAGGAGTCCTACCGAATGTCCATAGAACAAAGCCAACGAAAAAGTTGGGACCCGCAGTGCTCAGGCACTTGAAGAACGGGTCGTTCCCAGTATCCCAGTATTTAAATATTCGGCTAATGGTTATTGCAGAAATCTGTTGGTTTGTAGACAGTTTGTATTCTTAAGGTACTGGAACCAAAGTTACAATGCACCCACACCATGTGGCTCAATGCGTCGTTGAATCACCCTAAGCGTGAGGCAGCTGACAGCCCACGCGGTAGCGAAAGTGTTCTTAAGATTTTATGTCGAGGTTGGAGTCGGTACGTTTTTACCGACTCCACAACCCTGATTCTGACAGTGGGAATTGTTGGATCCCATTTTTGTCCAACAGTGGGTTGAATCACTGTAACCTGCTCATCAGGGGCACCCATACACTGATGGCTCCACCCCAACAGAGGGCATAATGGTATCTGGTGGCTCTGACCCATCTTGCAGGCTCACTCTTTAAGGGGGTCGTACCGCTGCGGTGGATTAGCTATACCCTGGGCCCGCCAGAGCATACCCAGAATACACCCCATTGATAACCTCTTGCATTCCAACTGATCACTTGTTAGAATTAACCTCTATAAGCAAAAATCCAGCCCACTATTTGCTATATTCCTTAAATCACATCTTTCACTGCATGTGCAAACATATATCAGAAAAACATGCCAACTTTTGTGGCAGATGCAACATACGAAGAAAATTTGAACCAATACTTAAATATGTGTATATGCTATGTTAAGGGCTGGTTACAACTGCTGCATTTGCGTTAAGAAAATTCATATTATTTTCCTATTTTGCTCTTTGATAAGGCGCCTGCTTCACAGGGATATATTAATTCAAGCTTTTTATTTATCCAAGCACTTCCAATTCATTGGAATTTTTAGGGTTGAACACTGACTTAAAAAAAACATGAAGCACAACCATAGAACAATTTTCTGACTCTTGTTCAGTAGCCTAGTAATATAAAACACAATAGATCAAGGACATATTTTCAAACATTTTGCTGTGATGTGAAGACCAAGCATCAGCTGATACCTGCTGTGTTGCGACTTTAGTGATTTCAGGTTCAGCCTTGAGCCTGAGCAGATCATTTAAACAAGTGTGTTAGCAGAAGTGAATTGTATTTCTTTGTCCCATGATTCCAGTTTGAGTATGCTGTATAATTTGAATTATATTTAATTTATGCACTTTGTTTTTTGCAAAACAAAGCAGCAGCGGTTTAGAGAGGAAAGACTAACTGGGTGTGAACAACATAAACCGGTCTTGAAGGTTAAGAATTTCAAGTTAGGGTACTGGACACTCATAATACTGTCATTCGCCATTGCCCGATATAAAATATCTCAAGATGACAAAACGTGTATTATATGGAGATCAGACAATTTTACGAGTATCAATCTTTTTGACGTAAATACGTATATACGGAAGGGTCATTCGACAAAAACAGCGTTACGAAGATGTGTAGGATCCATACCAACAATATGTACCGACGATGGTCAGCTTTTATATGAAATCCTGGGTGCGAGAAAAAGGATTCGAATTTCCAACACGCCTGCAACAATATTGGCCGAACATGCTGTAACGCTCTTCTCATTTATTATGGATGCTGTATAATTGCCTGAATAAACCTTATTGCAATCCACTCCTTTACCTAAGAAACTAATTGTTACGTCTTTTGTTTATTCGGCATTGTTGTGTTACATTACTGCCGTCAACAACCCGCTTTCCTTATTGCGGAAGGAGCTGAGCTGTGAATCGCTTGTAGAAGAAGTGCGTCGTAGAGTAGATAATATTGTGCTTTTAAAAACGTTTTAGAATATCACAGGTACTTATCTTATATAAGAATTATTAAGAAATCTGTGATAACTGCCCTCCACTCTCTCCATGTTAGTTTTAATTAAATTGATCATTGGCGGTGGACATCGTGGTCTCTTACTACTGAACAAAGTCTGAGGTAAGGGATTCCTATTCATTATTATTGTTCATCACATTTAATGTTTTCATCTGCATTTGTGAACTCGTGTTAAGAGAATTAGGCTCGTCTTCTTTTGACGTAAATTCGTCTATACGGACGGGTCATTCGGCAAAACCAGCGTTAGTTACGAAGATGTGTAAAATCCAACGCCGAGTCACCTTTAAACGTTCATTCCCCAGGAATGGTAAGAGTAAGGGTAATGTAACCTATATGTAAAATGATCAGTAAATAAGGACCTTTAAGAATCTGTAATGTATTTTATTGTAATTATAATTGTTTATACATTTATTGTAATTTTAATGAACCTTACATATCACAAATGGTTTAGGTTCTACAAACATTTATTTATACAAATAAAGGCGCATCGCACTTCACGCTACTGATACATTTGCGTATTTATGACAGATTCTCTGGAACCGTGGTTCCACTGCCAATTTTTTGTCGCGAGTAAGGCAGTACAGAAACCCGTCATACACTGACTTTCATTCATTCGTGTATGGAGAAGCAGACATATGTAATTCTCAGCAATCCGTGCACCACGCGCATGCTCAGTACGAATTCTCGTGCGTCACAGAAATGGAACCAAGGATTCATTGGGTTCACTTGTGTGGCATGGCCGATAAGTGTGATGACAGGTGGTGTTTTGTGCTAGATTTTAAGCTTTTTCTCCAAGAATAAAAGTCTGTGATATTTTCTGTGAGTGGCAAAGAAAAACGGTTTGATGCCAGTTTGCAAGTAGCTATGCATACCGCATTGAATGCTGTTTATGTGCCCTGGCAGCGTTTTAATAAACGAAAAGGTAAGAAAGATGTTATTCAGCGAGTTACATATTTGCGTTTACGAATTGTATTGTAAAAACAAAGCGATTAAGCAGTTGCACTTTAACTTAAACCTTAAGCATTTGTTTTTACAAACTAACTTTAACCGTTGTAGCATCCTTACATAATGTATAATGCTGTATTAAATGACAGGTTGACGTTGGTATATTA